TGTGTGTGTGTGTCTGCGTGGGGTGTGTGTGTGTGTCTGCCTGTCTCTTTAAGTGGGGGTGTAGGTGGGGTGTTGTGTCTTTCCGAGTGGGGTGTAGGTAAGTGGGTTGCGTGTATCTCTTCGCGTGGGGTGTTGTGTCTTTCTGAGTGGGGTGTAGGTAAGTGGGTTGCGTGTATCTCTTCGCGTGGGGTGTGTGTCTCCGCGTGGAGTGTAGGTAGTGTGTGTGTGTGTGTGTCTCTTTATGTGAGGATGTGGTGTGTCTTTCTGCGTGAGTGTCTGTGCGTGGGGGGGTAGGTAAGTGGGTTGTGTGTGTCTCGGAGTGTATCTCTTCTTGTGGGGTGTGTGTCTCTGCGTGGGGTGTAGGTTGTGTGTGTGTCTCCATGTCTCTTTATGTGAGGGTGTCAGTGTGGTATGTCTTTCTGCATGAGTGTGTTTGCGTGGGGTGTAGGTAAGTGGCTTGCGTGTGTCTCTGGGTGGGTCTCTCTGCGTGGCGTGAAGGTGGGGTGTGTGTCTCTCTGCCTTCGGTGTAGGTGAGGGGGCTGTGTGTGTTTCTGCATGGGGTGTAGGTGAGGCCTCCTCTGTGACAGCTTGTATAGTGGGAGTGCTGAGAGTCATTGAACCATCTGTCAATCTGTATATGATGAAACCACTTCAAGTCAAGAGATGGTGCTATGCCCCTGTCCCACTAGTTCCAACACCTGCCAGTCTGGAGGTGAGGGGGGCCATGTGTAGTGTCTCTGCATGGGGGTGTAGGTAAGGGGGCTGTGTGTGTATCTCTGTGTGGGTGTTTGTAGGTGAGGGCTCTAGAACAACTTGTAGAGTGGAGCTGTTAAGAACCATTGCCCAATCTATGAAACCCTGTGTATGATGAAACCACTTCAAGTCAGAGAATGCTGCCATGTCTCCAGCACCCTTAATTCCAGCATCTAGGGGTGTAGTTGGGGTGGAGGTGTCTCTCTTCCTGGTGGTGTTGGGGTGTGTGTGTGTGTGTGTGTGTGTGTGTGTGTATGTGTGTGTCTGTCTTCATGGAGGTGTAGTAGGTGTGTATATAGGTAGGCTGTGAGTATCTGCTTGGGGTGTAGTTGGAGGGCTTATGGGTAAATGGGGTGTGCAGCTCTATATATGGATGTAGGTGGCATGTGTGTAATTGGTGTGTTTCTGTGTTGGAGTGTAATTGAGATGTCTCTTTATGGAGGTGTAGCAGTGGTGATGTGAGTGTAAGTGGGGTGATAGTGTGAAGGTAGGGTTTGTGCCTGTGTGTGGAGTACTGATGAGATGGTGGGGTTGTATCTATGTGTGGTGTATAGTTCGTCGTGGATGTGTCTCTCTATTTGGTGCTGGTGTATGGGGTGTAATTGGGGTGTGGATATCTGTTTGTAAGTGTAGTTGGGGTGTGTGTGTGTGTGTATTGAAGTATAATTAAGGAATGTGTGCAAATACTAGTTTTTTGCCTGCCTCTGTATGTGGTCTATAAGTGGGGTGTTGAGGTGGTTTCTGTGCGCAGAATGTAAGCGGAGTTTGTGTATCTGTATAAGATTGCACTGGAAAGGTTTGTGTCTGTGGGTTGTTGTTGTAGGTGAGATGTGCAAGTGGTATTGTCTCTGTGTGTGGGTGAGCAGACGTGTGATGAGGTTTTGTTACATTTTGTGTTTCAGTGGATTATAGTAAAATGTGGTATATAAACAATAGGAGAGGGGTTATGTGTTTCTTTCTCCTAAGAGTAGCACAGGGTGAAGGGGGATGTGACTATAGAGCTGTGGTGTCCAACCAGTTCTGAAGCAGTAGCCACTGTGGTGGTTACTGCTATAGTGAACTAGCCACACTCAACTGGCCAAATAGCCACATGTGGCTAGTGGCTAGCGTGTTGGATACCACGATGTATAAATGGTTAATTAATTCAGAATGGCATTGTCTTTGGAGGTTTGAATTTCCCCGTGCTGCAAGGTGGTGCCAATATCTGCCTTGTGGCCTTTTGCAAAGGGGTTCCCTTTTGCCAAGAGCAGGCTGAGCTCTTACTGGAAAATGGTTATCTGTAGCGCTGGTCAGAGAATGGAATGTTTTGACATTCCAAATTTTGTTTCACTCCAAACTAGAACAAAAAGCCAAAATTTCAAAATTTCTCACAGAATAAAAATTTGATTCAGATCCATTGAAATATTCCATTTCAATAATGTCAGACTACTTCGTTTTGATAAACCCTTTTTGTTTCAGTAATGTCAAAACGTTACAATATGATACAATATTTAATACTACATACACATAGAACATTAATATTTTAATACCATGTAAAAGCATCTGTTTTTGAAGATCATGGTTTGAGAGTAAACACAAAGCAGACAGAAGTTATTCAAGTACAGAAAGTGGAAGAAGACCTGTTGATTGAGGTGTCAGGAGAGAAGCTGAGTCACAGGACTGAATTTGTGATCTTGGGGAGTACACTTTGTGGCATTGGAGAGAAATTGGGAGAACTGAAAAGAAGAGTCCAGTGTGCATGGGCAGCAGTGAAAAAGGTGGCAGGAATATTGTGGAACTGACAATTGAGTAACAAATTGAAGGGAAAAATGAAGGGCCGCACCTGCGGGGGGAGGGGGTGTCCGGGCAGGGGAGGCAGCCACAGCAGCGCCCCACCCCCCCTCCGCAGGACCAGCCTGAGCCTTCCTGGGCCGCAGCCCCTGCCCGCTCACTCTGGGCCCGGTGGGCAGAGCTCTGTCTGCACCTCCCTGCCTGGGTGTGGCCCCCACTCACCAGGTTGCACATGTGCACGATGGGGCTGGGCTTGGCGCGGGGGGGGGCGAGGGGAGCTGGGCCGTGCGCACGGGGTCGTCGTGTATGTGTTAGTTTTGGAAACAATGGGCCCTAAGGAAAAGGAAGATGATAAGATACAGGTAGAAAATAATGTTCTGGGAAGAATGACAGGTAGGCAGAAGGTAAAGAGGGAAGATGAACTTGGGTTTCTCAGGCTATGTCTAGACTGCAGGCTTCTTTTGGAAGAAGCTTTCCCAGAAGAGATCTTCCAAAGAAACTTCTTCCGAAAGAGAGCATCCACACACAAAAGCACATTGAAAAAGCAATCTGCTTTTTCGTGACATAGCGTCCATTCAGTGTGGACGCTATCTCGCATTTAAGCTGTGATTACTGTGGATATCAGGGCACCTCTGCTTTTTCCTCTTTCCTCTTATTTCAAAAGAACTCCATCTTCCACGTCCACACATGCCTTTTTCTGAAAGAGCTCTTTCGGAAAAAGATGTCTTCCTTGTAGAAAGCGGTTTTCCAATATTGGAAAAACTCCTCTGTTCTTTCGATTATTTTTTCCCCAAAAGAACGCGATTGCAGTGTGGATGTAAGTGAAGTTTTTTTGGAAAAATGGTCATTTTTCCGAAAAAAACTCTGTAGACAGTGTAGACTTAGCCTCAGTGATAAAGAGACTGGAGAGCTCAGGGTTGAGGTGTGATGAGAATAAGGATCAGCAAAGAGAGCATGGAAGGATGAGCAGCAAAAAAAGGATGCGGAAGACCAAGGATGGATTGGGAAGACTGTCAAAAAACGTTTGAAGAAAAAAGGGCTGCAGCTGCACGACCTATGAACTTGTACCACTGAATGGCATAGAATCATGAACTCCGCTGACCTTCTGTAGCTGTGGCAGACATGGGAGAGAAGTGAGGTGCTAAGAGGAATGAATTGAAACAATAATGTCAAAATGAAATCTTTTTACTTTAATGAAATCTCTCAACATTGTAAGTTTGTCCGCTGTATCGTTCAATGGGCCTGGTCCAAGACTAGGATCCCTAAGCTCTATAGTAGCATAAATAATAATGATTATCAAAACAAAAATGAGAAAATCAAAGTGAAACATTTCAACATTTTCCATGGAAATTTTTATTGAAACTGACATGTTCCCACAAAATGTTTTGATTGACTACCTGTGTTTTCTGACAGACAAATGTGTCATTATCATTTTTTTTTTTTTAATTTTGACCAGGTCTAGTTATCTGGATGTTATGCTATCCTCTTTTTGGGAGGGCAAAGTTTGTTCACAGTGTGTCATGTACAAAGTGGTAAGGTAGAGGGGTTTGAGGCAGGCCCTCAATTTGTGAGAGTGAATGTTTTTGTTTTAATCTATGGATCTGAGAAGCACAATATAGCAAAAATGACATGTGCCATTCTCTGTATTGTGCCACATGCTATATGAATTATGCTGTGCAGTAGGCTGACAGATTGTCATGGTAAGATGATGTGGCAGAACCACCACAAACTTGCCAGAGATCATTGGAAATAATGTAGGAATGTATTATGGTAATACTGTACCTCTTCCGCCTCCTCCTCTCCCTTCCAAAAAATTACACAGATAGAAGTATTTAAGTTGCAATCTTTATTGATTCGTTTCCTTGAAATAAGACATACTAATTTGTTTTTTTTTCTCTTTCAGATCTGGGAGTGTAGCACAGAACTGGGTTGAGATCTATGATTTTGTAAAACAACTCACGGAAAGATTTGTGAGGTATGTTTTCCCTTTGGTAGCTTCTGCTTTTAACTGAAACTGGGATATGTTAGAAAACAAATCCTTTTGGAGGGTTATCAGTTGGAAACATTTCATAAATATATAAAGTGTTTGAATGCTAATGTTCAGACAGACAGGACAATAAACTCTCACTTTATAATGTCACCATGTTTGGAACTTAGTAAAATGTTAATTTGCAAGCATCTTTAAATATTGGATTCTTAATTTCTTTTTTAAGCTGATTAGGTTATAGCTGATTTAGGTTATTTTTAAACATTGCTTCCCCCCTAAATAGCATCAGTTGTTTCTGAAATATTATTTGTTTGCATCTATTGTTTAGTGTTACTCTAATTATACAGCTCACTATAAATATATCAGAACATTTAAAGTGAACATGCTATCCAACCAAAAAGGGAGGGAAAGCTTTTGCTTCTCCAGTGCAGGCAGATGTTTAAAGTTGTGCCAGTTTAATATATGCTTTGTGCATATGCAACACACTTTATCTATAAATAACATTACTTCTCTGCGGACAAACATGGCTGTTATACATTGGCTTGCTGTATTTTTTTAAAAATTAGGAATTAGTGTAATTAAACACCTTCCTGTAAAAAAAAAATAATAATAACCCACAGATACAGGATGTTATGGGAGTTAATTTTTTCCTGTGGAAAATGAAATACAGTAAGCAATTGTAAGCTTGCCCAGCTAATGAAGAGAACATGAATAAGGGTTGCGTAATTAAATAGCATGTCCATCCATCTCACTAAGGTCAAATTTTATGGAAAAGAAGCCAGGGTGACAAAGTTGAAAGTCATTTTAGGGAGAGAGTGAGAGAGAGACTCTGAAGAGGTTTTGGCCATTCTCTCTTTCAGTTCTTGGTGCAAAAGGGTGTGTTTGTTCATTACAAAGCCCTTGGTACATCCTCAGCTGTAGCCAAGTGACACATCCTTTTGCAACAGCTGGATTAGAACGTGGTTTGGCTTCATCAACTGAAGAGCACAGAAAAATCAGGCTCATATATTCTAAATGATTTATACCCGTACTAAGGCTCTTTTACGCAGCTTAATTAATGTATGCTGCTCTCCGTATAAACAACAGTCAGTCCCCCATTTACATTTAAAAACATTTGTTATGGAAAGAACAACAGAGTTGTTTTGTTTAGTAGTTGTCTAAGGCTGTTCATTCCAACATGTGGTGAAAACATTGAATGGATTCATTCTAAATATTAGATGATACCGGTCTGAACTGTGCCTCTGTTTTCCATTTTGATTGGTTGGCAGGATGGTGAGCCTGCAGCAGTAATATCACACATTCATTTCCTGTGCAATATGCCTATGACATGGAATGGGATCTGTGTATGTATATAGATATTTTGCCCCTCACTCTAGAGTGAGTGTTTGGATAGTGAAATGAAATAAAGGATGTTTTCAGAGGATATTTTCTATATTTTTAATGACCAGTTCAAATAGTTAAATCAATTTATAGCTGTGAGGTAACTCAAAGGCCTTGCATCTCAAATAAAAAGATCCCTCTTGTGATTTTCATTAGCTGCTAATGTTATTCAATGTATTGCAGACTGGAAGCACTGTGTGGTCTGTTTGACAATTAATGGACTAAGGGCCTGAGTCTGCTGTCTTTTCTCAGGCAAAATATCAGTGAAAGGACTAGGACAGTGCCTTATATCAAAGCAACATGCAGCAGATCTGTCACCTACATGTGTTATAATTTCTCTGATGCTTACGATAAAATAAAAAGTTTTAAAAATTATTAACACATGTGAACTAAAATATAATCCTTCAAATTAATATTGACCTTTGTCCTTATCAATTTTAACTTAAACCATTCACGTAGCCACACAATTACTATGTCTCTTATAACAGTTTAATGTCTCTTTGATACATTTATAAATTAATCCGTTATGGCTGTGTCTAGACTGCATCCCTTTTCCGTAAAAGGGTTGCAAATTAGACACATCGCAATTGCAAATGGAGCGGGGATTTAAATCCCCCCGCTTCATCAGCATAGAAATAGCTGCCGCTTATTTCCGGCTCAGAGCTTTGCGCCAGTCTCATTTTAAGAGGGATAAGGGATCTTTCAGAAAAGGCTTTATTTTCCGAAAGATCCGCATCTAGACTGGCACTCTTTTCTGGCAAAGCTCCGAGCCGGAAAAAAGCGGCAGCCATTTTTATGCTAATGAAGCGGGGCGGATTTAAATCCCCGCTTCATTAGCAATTGCGATATGTCTAATTTGCATCCCTTTTACAGAAAAGGGATGCAGTCTAGACACAGCCTATGATTTCAAAGAGGAGAGGTGAGAACTCATTTTACAAACATCGCTGTCTTGGCTATCAACAGCATCAGTTTCTCTTGGCGGGGGATATGAGGAACAACTAGTCTTCAACTGATGCATGTTATGTAGTTCCTTTTACTATTAGTGGGGATTCAGAATGTATATTAAGGGAAAAGATAGATCCCTTACTTAATTGTATTTGTTGTATTGCTGATTATGGCGCATATTTGCCCAATAATTCTTTTGAGAGAATTGTTTTTAGTTATTACAGACATATTTGAAGAATATTGAAACCTGTTCATTGAGAAACTGCAGAGAATGAGACTTTGTTTTAAATGAAATAGCCAAATTCAAACCTGGAATAACTGGGTGCTACTACTCTAATCTTACTAGTATTGTGCCTTCTTACACCAGATCTGAATTTGATCCAACTGTCTTAAATTGTATCACGTTCAGATTTTGAAAATGGTAGCTTACTTTTGCACAGGCCCAAGTTTCATGCCCATAACAACCAGTGCGTGTGCATAAATTAAAATTGTGCATGTGCAAAAATGTATATGTGCAAATGTTCGAGTTGCATATTCACCCATAGTTGGGAGAATACAAAAATGTGCATGCGTGCCTTAAAAATTTGAAGCCTCATTATATTGCGGAATGCAGTAAGTACCTCAGCTTAACTTGTGTTTATCTACAGCCTATGACCAAGCAACTAAGTAAACAATAATTATGCTTCTGCATTTTGTAGTGTGCAAGAAAGATACAAGTGCAAGAAGTAAACAGCTCTTTAATTCATTGTTTTCTTCTGCACATTCTTGGTTTGTAGTTTGAAAGTGTGTGCTTTGGAAATAAGATGATGAAAATAATGCTAATAAAGAAAAGTAAAAAGATGAGGGATGGATATACTGTATAAGGGTTTTTTTGTCATTTGTCTAAAATGTATGTGTTTTTCTTTTCTTTAAAAGCCCCCGGATGAGATTATCCTTCATAGTGTTTTCCACCAAAGGACAAACCATTATGCCATTAACTGGAGACAGGTTAGTTTGTTATTCCTTTTCTTTAGGGCTTTTACTGGATCAGATAACATTAGCAAAATGATTGATATGTTCCAGGATGAAAACCTCTGATTCATAAGGCAACTGAACATTTCTGTGTTTATTTTTGAGAACATCCCAATGGATGGTCCACTAAGTCAGAAAGAGAGAGAACTTCAAATGATCTTTGTCTCAACTCTACCACTGTCTTGATGCGATCATAGGCAAGTCACTTCACCTGATGCACTTTCTGATGCATTTTCTTCAAAATGGTTATAATGGTACTTGCTGGTCTTTGTAAACCAAAATCCCTCAATGCAGAAGTGCAGTGTAAATGCTCCATTTAAGACAAACATTATATTACATTAATATTGTGGATAAATGTGGAAGTTGCATAAAGCCAAGAATTTTTAAACTAAAAATTCTGGAAAAAAAATATTATTAATTTCAAAATAGCATCAGAAGGTATGCGGGCATCTAGGATCACCCTGAGTCAGTGGAGGTCTGATGGACTTTATAATTGCTGTTTATGGCCCTGAGATGAAGGAGAGAGTTGAGTTGTTTGCTGCACTTCCTGTCATTTGATTTGCACATCTTTGTGGGCATAAAAAAAGACTGCTTGTTCTGTTTTCAAAGAGAAGACAAAAATGACAACTCCTGGGAAAATCAGGAGGTCAGTGGGAAAATTGGGAAGCAAAAAAGTACACAGAAGAAGGAAAAAAAACATTAGAAAGGAAGATCATTGCAAAGTAAACCAGTAGAAAAAGTCATGTCAGAAACAACAGGAAATCTACATTATGCCATGTGGCTTCCTGCAGAGAGTCATTGCAATATTTTCAAGGGACACAACTCTAGACTGTTCTCACATCAAACTACTGAAAACTCTGATGTTTTTCCCACACTTCCCTTTTGAACCAAGTCAAAACAGCATGAAAAGCCCCAAAACAGAACGGTGAAGTAGTTGGAGAAAATGCGTATGGGTCGATCATTTCAGATAACATAAGGAACAGTTCTTGAATTATGAACAATTTGTGAAGTAATTGAAAAGCCATATGAACTGCTTGTGAGAGACCAAAGTGTCCCCTTGCAATTGAGTCATCTTGCTATTCCACCCTAAGCCATGGTTTATCATAATTAGTTAGTTGCTGGGCTTTATAATGAATAAGCAAACTGAGAAAACAGACTTACTAACAGAGGTATAGGCCAAGATTTTCAGAACTGGGTGCCTCAAATTATTCTTCTAAGTCTATACTCTGGTAGCTGAAAAGGTATCCTGACTTTCAACATTGCTAAGGACCCAACAGCTCTCACTGACTTGAACTTTTGGTCTGTGCTGTGGGCAGAGGCAGAGCCAGTGGGCTTATAAACCACAACTTCATTTACTTCAGAGAGTGCAGAATAAGGCATTTGAGGCACCTTTTGAAGTCAGTGGTTACTTCAGAGAGTGCATTTGAGGCACCTTTTGAAGTCAGTGGGAGTCTCTTTCTCTTGATTTCAATAGTTGCTTACTTCTTTTCAAAGCCATATCTCTTCCTGAACACCCAGAGTCACAACTGAGAAGGGTTGCACTTTGAATGCCTAGGCATACTTTTGGCACCCCTCCACATAAGCACAAGTGCTGTTTCAATGAGTCAGACAGAGTAGGATATTCTCAGATGTGTGAAGGGAGTTAAAATGTACTTTTCTAAGAAAATGAGTTCTAGAAAGGAGAGTTCTAGAGTTTTATTATAATTGAGTTCCTCTTCCTTTTGTTTCTGTCATCCAGTATTTTCTGTGGCATCAATATATGCATGTTTTGGGGGAAAAATTGCTCTTTTGTAATTCACTAGGCCGGTTGCAAAAGGGGAGGAGGAACAAGCACTCTGCTCACAGAGAACACTAAGCTGCTACCCAGGAGAGAGTGAAATGCCTCCCTGCTGATTAACAAAATGCCTACAACATGTGTTTCTACTGGTGGTGCACAACTGCACATGCCTCAGTGCACATAACAAAATTTATTCCGTGCATGGGTGGAAAAAATTAGAGGAAATGTTGACAAGGAAGATGGGTAATAACACCAGTTACCATATATGCATGACTGAGTAGAGAGATTTTTAATGCAGATGTGATCTGAACAAGTTTAATTCTAAATATTAGGGGGATCAGCAGCAGAGAACAGCTTAGCATGTTTGGCTCCCATTGGTTCCAGCCGAAAATGAAGGCCACAGCACATGGCAGTATTAGGGATTTAGTGGAAATAGTACCACTTGGTGATGTAATACCAATGATTTGTTAGGAGCTGTATTTTGTTATTTGCTAATTCACAAATCTCAGCAAACCATAGTGAATTTCCGGTCAATTGGTTCAAGCTAGTGAACCTTTATTGTACAGTATTTGAATGAATACAATCCTAATAATTTATAAAGTAAAGTTCATACTGATTTTTACAACATATTTCAACTGTTATGACAGATGCTAAGAACACACCAAACACTTAAAGTTAACAATGAATTTTGTGTTGGGGACAGGATGAGAGGTGCCATAGTGACAGTCATAGGCTAAAAATCTTCTTTAAGCACAGAACTGTACTATTTTAACAAAAATAAATGGCTAGGAAAAGTAGGAGTGTTTTTACACACGAGAAACGCATCATGTTGCATTTTGTATACTCCTGTAGCCAGCTATATGCTGGCAGATGTAACTGTAGTTTCCATATCCTGGCTCCTGCCAGCTATAGGGAGACTCAGCCCTATGGCCAGATGCATGGTGTGATCCTGATGTCTTCACTTGGGCAGAACTCCATTTGAAGTTACTGAATATTTTTGCATGAGTGAGGGTTACAGGATCAGGGCCACAGTCTTTCTGTATGCTTTTATGGCAAGAGCCAGAATGGGCTTCTCTTTGTCTTGTGATGCATGTGCATGTCATGAATACACACAAGCCTCAGCCCTGCAAAGCATTTCTACATGTTTAACTTCATGAGTGCATTCATAAATTTTAGCATGGAAGGCCTGCCAGAATATAGCCAGCTAGAGCAGAATACAGACTATGTTGCGATGTGCATGGAACATAGAGAAAGATGCATCTGATTTTCCAGTTACCCACTTTTTTTCATACGGAGATGACAAATGAGTCCCCAGTGTTGTAGTAGAAACACTGAAAATGTAGCAGTTCCCTCTGCAAGGGAGTTGTTTGGGGGAGTTTGCTTTTATGATGGGAGGTCAGATGTGTAAAAAGCACATGTCGGTTAGGAACTTCTTATTCATTTATAGGATTCAGCTGAGGAGAGTGATGTTCAGGGGTTATTTTCGGTAGCGCAAGGAGCATATTGTATGCAGATGTGGGATAAAACTTCCCTGGTTTTCTCAAATGACACATTTTTTCCCCCCCTTCAACAAGTATGTGGATGCTTCCGAATACACCTGTTGGATTAGTACAACTTTGTGGCACGGCTGCATTTTGTTGGAGAGGATGTAATCTCTCATCTGCTTTTTTGGGTGATGTACTTAATTGGGAATCAGAATGTACTTCCAAAGGTCTGTTGGTGGTCTGATATGCTCAAGCTCTCCTGACTAATAATGTGAGATGCCGGTCACTACAGAGCAGGATGGTAAATTAATGTGAAATTGGAATGGGCCTAAAGGAGCTGAGAGCTTCAGTTTTAAAAACTTCATCCATTTTTATAAAAACTGAGGTTCACAAAACAGACTAAACCTCTGTTGAATTTCACTTGTGTGACCTGATGCTTATGCAGCAGACAATTCCAGCCAACACTGACCTGAGCAGTTTTATTTTACAAGGTCAAAGCCTTTTACTAGCAAGAAGTGGCATTCAGCAAATTTCTTGAGCATATTTTTTCAGATGTGCTCTGTCCAACACCATCAAGCAACATTTTGTTCTATCTCTTAGTGCGTGTCAGAAGTACATTTGTTCAAACAAATGCAAAGGACGTTAGTGTATGCGGCATAGTCTTCTGTTTCTTTTTGTGTGAGGTACCCTTGTTAGAGGCCTGGTCCAGTGCTTGTGGAAGTTGAGGGCCACGTATCCTGACCAAGTACCATCTATGGGCTTGTCTTCATTAGGTAGACTTTTAAAATTGCTAACATGTTTGCAACATTCAGAGCCCTAGTGTAGACCGGCCATTGGCTGCGGACTCCATTTCTAGCACTATATTAAGGCAGGGTTACGTGACACAGTTCAGTAGCTGTTGGATTGTCTGTACTTGGCCTCCCAATATTGTAGGCACCGCTTCAACTGATAAATGCTATGTAATAATTCAGTCCACGTGAAGAGTTGCCTTGCTACACTAGACCAGCTGAAAAGGAAAGCCAAGGTGTGTGCACAGCCATTGTTGGTGTGTTGTAGTTTATTTTACAGTGGGGCTCAGTCCTTTGCTCAGTTGCTTCATTAGGCAGTCTATGCCGTATTCTGAATTGAGTCCGACACAGTGTGGTCCCAGAGATGGCAATGCAATCCGTGAAGAGTTTGGCTCCCCTCTGAACAATATTCTCTAACTCTTGTGTAGGATCTGATTTAGTCACCCTTATTCATGTTAAATAGCACCTACCTTCATGAACAGAGTGTCTGAAGTAAATGGGTGTCACTCCTATGAATGAGAGTAGTGTTCACCCGTGATAACAGCACAGAACTGGGACCATAAAGAGGAAAGACGTGGGGAGAACGGCAGAACTCCCACTGAATTCAGTCAAGCCAGGATTTCACTGACCTTTTCAATCAAGGTTAGACGCGCCATGATGGAAAACTTGTAAGAATGGTGTGATTTGCTGGAGCTGCGTGGGGAGGAATTATCTAAGCAATTATGAAGCAAAGAAAAAGAACAGACAGGATAGCTATTATAGATTAAATGTGCCTTGTCTAAAAGACAGAGGTGTGATGCAGCACATATGTTGAATTGAGAAGAGATGTTCTATTTGTAATCATTCAGCCTAAACACAGACCGGCTGCGAGCTACAGGTGGGAGTGAACGGAATCATTTCCGCCTCCCGCTCCCTCCACCTTTAGGCTATGTCTAGACTGCAAGCCGCTTTTTCGAAAGAAAGCACCCAGTGAGTCTGGATGCTCTCTTTCGAAGAAGCCCTATTTACATTCAAGAACGCCTTCTTTCGAAAGAAGCACTTTCGAAAGAAGGCGTTCTTCCTCGTGAAATGAGGTTTACCGCTGTCGAAAGAAAAGCCGCGTTCTTTCGATTTAATTTCAAAAGAACGCGGCTGCAGTCTAGACGCAGGTGAAGTTTTTTCGGAAAAAGGCTACTTTTCCCGAAAAAACCCCTGAGTCTGGACACAGCCTTAGTCTGACTTAAATCGTGAGACCTGCAGAGCTCTGAGTCATTATTAAGATTGTTAGTTCTTTGTATGGTGGCAGGGCCCAGGTACCCCGCCAGCAATCTTAGCCCCATTATGGTAGGAACGATACAAACGCGTAGAAAGATGCTCCCTGCCCTGAAAAACTTAGTCTGGTGGCTACAGCAATGAGTAAGAAGTGGGGGAGAGCAGCGGAGTCCTGACTAGCTTGGGAGGGGGAGGTGGACCACCCCACTTTGTTTCAGTGCATGCTTTGGTGCTGGAAGACAGATGGTGACCTGCTCTGTGCTGCTGCAGAAGTTAGTTTTTGTCGCCAAAGATTTCACCCGCATCAACTGCAAAAAGGAGGCCTGGAGGTGCCAAAGTGTCCTGTGAGGCCTGGTCATGAGGCATGCTGGATAAAACCGAGCTGATTGTGGGAGAGCTATTTTTGCAGTATGAAATCTGTTTCAGAAACTGGAACTTCAGTTGCTGTTTGTTTCTTGGCAAGCAGACCGCTAATGCCTGTGGACATGCTGCCACTCATTTCTGGCAAGCATGGAGTATGTGGTTTATAATCCTGCATTTGTACATAATCCATTTCAAGTTGTTTCTATAGATGCTGAATGTAAAATATTTGGATCCAACAGATTGCATTGCCTTACGTAACTTGTTCCCTTCCATCTATTTAACACAGAATCTCTTCCTTTGCCATTGAAACTGTCAATATGGATATCAGTTGCTGAATGCAAATTGAAAGTTGCATCTACATATTGTGCTTCTGGAGTAAAGCTTCTAAACATAGAGAAACTTAATCAGTGGAACAAATTACTTGTGCAGGGCATTCGGGCCGGGTGGCGTTCCAGTTCTTTTTTTCTTTGTCTGCCCTAAGGAAGGGTTTCATGCCATCTGGAAATACTTGCCTTGCCATTCCCTCGCTCTCTCTCTCTAATTGTCATCTGTATTTGTCGTGCTCTGTGCATTCTGGGCCAAATGCAGATCTTACTAGGAGCATGTCCATTGATTTCATTGGAAGTTTGCCCAAGTGAAAACTGACTGAGAACCTGAGTCTGTGGCACTCTTAATGTAATCCTTGTATTTTTGCTACTGCCGACTGCATTCAAAATATTTCCTTTACTTCTCCCCATTTGCTTCTACAGCCCCATTCCCACAGCCCCCTCAGAATCATTGGTAGATTTATCCTTTCAGTTCTCCAGTTTTACAAAGGAGGAACTGCACTCCACAAAGGTTAAATGACTCCTCTGAGGTCACACATGAAGCCTGTGGCAAAGATAGGAATTAAGCTCAGCTCTAGTCTGTTTCTTTAACCACAAGAACATCCTACAAATGCTGAAAGAATGAACAGATTTTTTTCAGACAAGGCACTTTAATTAATCAATATAATACTGCCTTAGCAGCTTCTGACTCATGAATGGCCCCTGTCAGTTTTTTTAGAAAGATACACCATTCCTTTATGCTGCTTGCAAAAACGAAGTTGTGTATCTTGGTGGGTTACTTTTTTAATTTGTGAGTGCCTGGAAGCTAAGTAAATGTAGGCAAGCAAACGAAGTAAACTTCAAAAGTATGACATCGTTCCCACTAGAGTGTTTGAAAATTGGTAGAGGGAAGTCGGTTTGCAGCATACACTCCCATCTGAAACATTCCACTTGGATCTGTCTCCTTCTGAGTCACCAAGCATAGTGCAATTTATGCACGCTATATCTGTTACCACAATACAGCTTTCATTGTGATTTTTTTAAAATTTGTCTCTGCATATTGCTTATGAGCTGAAATGGTTTTTTTTTGGGAGGCATGTTTTAATTTCAAGGTCACGCTGAAGCCCTCTTTTATACAGTGTGCACACAGCACATCAAAACCTGTTAGTTTTACCAATTGTCAATGTGATTTTTTTTTTTGGCATTGTTTATGAATGGAACAACCTTTTTGTCTTGTTTTTTTAATTATTCTCAGAAATGAAATCGCAAAAGGCCTCCAAAATTTACGTGAAGTAAAGCCAGCTGGTGATACATATATGCACGAAGGATTAAAGCTAGTAAGTTATAATTGAAGTAAATTCTGTTCTCCTGATGTAACAACAAAAGAGCATGCCTTTAAAAACATTTTGCATGCATTTTTTTTGCATGCAGTAAGCCTGTAAGAGCCAAATTCCGAGGTCCTCATTCAAGCAAAGATTGTCCTGGTGGGAGAGAGAACCCATGTAGGGGATTGGAAATGTTATGAGGTTTCCTTAAGAAGTTTATTTTGTATTGTTCCCTAGAGGCAGGAGGTAGACCTTAATTTTCCCACATGGGATAAATAACTAACATTGTACAGTTTTAAAGAAATGAGTATAGTAAATAAACATATCAGCTTTATAGTGTTGCTGTTATTATTACAGAACATTAATATAGTCTCAAATTTCAAAGTTTGTTTACAAACAAAGACACGGCACAATGTGACCGAGGACTAGTGATTTTAGTTCCCTTCATTTTTGGTGTCCAATCTGCAGCGTTGTTAACTCTTGTGATTTTATTGGGAGTCTTATACTATTTGATATTTAACTTAAAGAGCCAGGTCCTGGAGATTCCTTGGTCAGAATCCCACTTTGCGTTTAAAAGAAAAAAGTACGCTTCTGGCTGTCATGATTGTGGAGAAAAATTTGAAAGGTGTGACAGTGCAACCTAAGGCCTGAAAAATTAGAAGACAAATAAAATGTACTCTAAGTTTGTTATTTAAAAACCCCTCATTATTTTAAATCTGATTTTATTGTATTTTTGGGGCCTGATTTTTGAGGGTTTGGGGTTGTCAGTATTGAAAGTGAAACACCATAAAGGAACACGATCTTCAGAAATTGTGGGGTATGAAAACCATTCTTTTCAATGTATCTCAGTTTGAGGACCCAAACATGGGGGCTCTTAAAGTCACTAGTAACTTTGGGAAATGTTAGTCATGCTCCCTAGCCTAAACAATTGCAATCCAAAGCCGGGATCCAACTCCAGTTTAAATGAATGAAAGGATGATGGGAGGAGTGGAGATGGGGAATTGCTTGAAGAGGTGACTTTTAGGGATGGATTTGATCGTTCAGTTGGATTTGGCTTGTTTCAAATGGCTGCATTCATCTTGGTTACAAATTTGGATATGACTCTAAACTGGATAATTACTGTTTCTTTGCAGGCAAATGAACAAATTGAGGGTGCAGGAGGCTCAAAGTTTTCCAGTATAATAATTGCTTTGACAGATGGTAAATTGGACGGTCAGATCCCGTTGTATGCAGAAAAAGAGGTGAGTAGTGAACTGCAACTGCCTGTTACATGCGGCTGTGTTTTTTGCATCTGTTTTTTGCCTACTGTGTAAATATTGTATTTCTTTCTCTGTTTTATTTTGGAACAGGCAAATAAGGCCAGAAATTTAGGGGCTAGAGTTTACTGTGTTGGGGTCCTTGATTTTAAACAAGAACAGGTAAGTGCATTCTTGTTCTTACTAATTAATGTCTTATTACAAGTTGTTATAAGGCAGCAATCGCTGCTGTAGATGAATATACTTATGCTGTAGCAGTGCAATATCTTCTCCAGAGCAGCAAGTAGGTATTTAGAAATTTACTTATTAACAGAAATAAAAAAGAAGAGTGGATGCTACTGTTTTATTACAGAAAAGATCTCTCAGAAATTAATTTCACTTAGTGATAGCCTCCTGCACCAGATAATGTAGGTAAACTTTCCATTCAAATGTTAACCAGATTAGCCCACAGCTTGCACGAGTACAGTGGCTGTGGCTAAGCTTTGAGTTGACAAGGGATAATAGTCTTTGTATTGAAAAACAAAAGGAGGACTATTGTCTTTTTTCATCAACTGAAAATGTATGTGTAGGTCCTGTGCTCCTGTAAGCAGAGCATTTGCAGAGTCAGCACTAGAGAGCAGATGGAAGCGGAGTAGGAAGACTTGGACTTTACATGGAAAAAGTGTACAGCGGGAATCTTATCCAAAGGATATGTTGAAAGGCTTCGTAAAGTGAGACAAAGCAAACAGGAGCAGAAAAGTTTGTGTCATCAATATCTTATAACTCCACTCCAAGAATAGACGTAAAATGATAGTCTCAAATGATCAGGATTTAGGGAATCTCTTTCTTTGGTTTGTTTGAATTTGAGTGATTACCACAGAGTGGGATTAGCAGCGTATCGTGCTGCAGCAAGTACTTCTGTTTTAAAAAAACAAAACAAAAAACAAAACATAACTGCTCTCCTTTGCTGGGGGCCAGAAGGCCCATGGGATCCAGGATTTTCATTCTCTTGCTTAATGTTATATCCTATTGGTTTTTAGACAAAAGTTTAGATCTTTTCAGGCTGAAAAATATTGTGCAACATGTTTGGGCTGCCAAATTTTTTGTGTTTGTTTTCCAAAGCTTGAAAGAATTGCTGATACAAAAGAACAAGTCTTCCCGGTCACTGGAGGATTCCAAGCCCTTAAAGGAATCATCAATTCTGTGAGTATTATTGAGCACACGGTCTCAAAACTTTTGATGGTTTATTTTTGGAAGCAATTTCTTGGTTTCTGCTGTGGCTTGGGTTTTGCCAGGTAGGCAGTTGCATTATATTTAGCTAGGTTTAGTCTAAGGCCAAGCTGATTGCCTCCTGAGAGGTGCTGAGACCCATTGAACAGAATTGGGTCCTAAATTCATAGTTTCCAGTCACTGGTACCTGCAATACATTTACCCTTCTTTTCTTAGGAATGCATTTCCACACATTGCTGCTGCCTGCCATTCACTGAATTGGATGTGGCCTGATTCAGAATAGAGATAGCAAAATGCAAATTTAGCTTGAGAACAGCTGGTTTTAAAGCTGTTAATAAGCTAGTTATGGTACTGGCCAGAAATTAATAAGAAAAGAAGAATATGGGAGTATTCTGAAGGCATCACTTGGACCTCTGCTTTTACTTACCCTTTCTCCTGGTAAAAATAGAATCTTTTGGTTTGGTTTGTTATTTCTGCATTTCACCAAAAGGCCCCATTAATGAGTGTGGGCAAATGAACTGACTGTAGTGATTTATTTGAAAGGGATACAAAGGGATGAAACCACAGGAAGCAGTTCATGGTTTTGATGAGGTCGGTGGCTAGGCTAGATTTTTAGCTGATTTGGTCAGGTACCGTGGCGCAGGAACATTTTTTTTAGGAGTGTGGATGCTGACCTTCTTTCTCCTTGCCATGTCCTGCCTCCCCACCCCCCAGCTGAGCCCAGGAGCAAAGACCTGACATGCGGGAACAGCAGCCAAAGTGAAGTGGGGGTGGGGGTCTGGATGGGCGAGGGGGTGCAGGAACTAAGTGGGTGTGGGGGATCTGGGTGGGAGGAGGTGCAGGAGTGGGAAGGGGTGGGAGAGCTGGGCAGGTGGTAGGGTGCAGGAATGGGGTGGGGATGGGGGGTCTGGGAGATGAGGGGGGCACTTACCTGGTGCAGCTCCACAGGGACGCACATGGCTCCATGTCCCTTGCCACTCCCAGGCACCGCCCCCTGCTGCTTCTATTGGCCGTAATTGCAGCCAATCAGAGTGGTGGGAGTAGAGCCTCCAGGCAGTGCTGCACTGCACTGCCGTTTCCCCAGCTGAGGGGAAGAGGAGCGGTGGGTTGAATCCGGCTCTGGCTTGCCTGACTCCGGCCTGCGAGGCTCAGGGCTCCTTCCCCCTCTGCACCGCGGAGCTGGCGCTGGCATTCCAGCCCTGTGGAGGGTTGTTGTGAGGCCAGCGCCGGCTCCCTGATGCTGGCGGGGTTGGAGCCCTGAGCTTTGGGGGCTGAATCCAGGCAGGTTCCCTACCCTTGCCTTAAAAAATGGCCTTTATTGACTATTTGTGTTGCGGTAGCGCATAGGACTACTGGTTGTGAACAAGGACCCTGTTGTGCAGGGTGCTGTACAAACCTAGGACAAAAAGACTGTCCCTACCCATAAGAGTTTACTATCGTCATATAAGGCAAAAGACAACCGAAGGAGGGAGACAGAGGAGTGAAAGGAAACAGTGAGACTGTTGGTGATGATAGGCATAATAGGCAGTGATCTCAAGCTGGCTTAAGCTCCATGCGCTGGTCAATGCTGCTTTTATTCCTAAAGGAAAATAGTACAAATTGAATGTCAAATGTAAGGCTATAAACATATTGGTGAATGAAGCTCTCTTCCCAAGACTGACCCCACTGATATTTATGTCCTCCCCACCCTTTTTTAACAAAGGACTCTATTTGTAACTAAGTTATGAAACCAAGAACTTGTCACTACTCTTCCTTTGAATCATGTGTTTTTCGCTAGAAGTTACTGCAGTAGATGAAACGGCTTTTTCCTTCTCTTTGCTTACAATATATTGCTTCAGAAGATTAGAACATAAGAATGGTCCATCTAGCCCAGTAGCCTGTCTGCTGACAGTGGCCAGCACCAGGTGCCCCAGAGGGGGTGGACCGAAGGCAATGATCAAGCAATTTGTCTCCTGCCATCCATCTCATCTTTCACAAATAAAGTCCAGGGATACCATTCCTTACCCATACTGGCTAATAGCCTTTTATGGACCTAACCTCCATGAATTTATCTCTCTCTTTTTTAAATTCTGTTCTAGTCCTAGCCTTTACAGCCTTCTCTGGCAAAGAGTTCCACGGGTTGACTTTGCGCTGTGTGAAGAAGAACTTTCTTTTATTAGTTTTAAACCTGCTATCCATTAATTTCATTTGGTGTCCTCTAGTTCTTATATTATGGGAACAAATAAATAACTTTTTTTTATTCATCCTCTCCACATCACTCATGAGTGTATATACCTCTATCCTATCCCCCCCCCCCCCCCTCCCCCTTTCTCTAACACCCCAGAGAGAGTGGACCGAAGACAATGATCAAGCAATTTGTCTCCTGCCATCCCTCTCCAGCTTCAGACAAACAGAGGCCAGGGACACCAATTATATCCCCTGGCTAATAGCTATCCCATGACCTAACCTCCATGAAATTATCTAGCTTCTTTTTAAACTCTGTTATAGTCCTAGCCTTCACAGCCTCCTCTGGCAAGGAGTTCCACAGGTTGACTATACGCTGTGTGAAGAACTTTATTTTATTAGTTTTAAACCTGCTACCCATTTATTTCATTTAGTGTCCTCTGGTTCTTCTATTATGGGAACTAATAAATAACTTTTCTTTATCTGCCCTCTCCACACCACTCATGATTTTATAGACCTCTATCACATTCCCCCTCAGTCTCCTCTTTTCTAAACTGAAAAGTCCCAGTCCCAAGATTCTTCTCCAGTCTCAAAAGACTCTTCATTCAGTTCAGGCTCTTCCTTCACCTTCTGTTAGAGATAGTAAATGCACGTGGCAAGTGCTAGGGAATGCCTGTCTGGTATTACTGTGAAGGCTTTAAAGCAGGCCCATGGGTCGGATTCGGCCCACCAAGCCTTTAAATCTGGCCCCTGGCCCACCCAACTTGGACCCTCAGCAGAGAGCAGCCCCAGGGCTCAGAGTGGCTGGCTGCTCCATCTGCCTCACAGCACTGGGGAGGAAGGGAAGGCTTTATGCGCTGCTCCCACCTCCAGTGCAATATTTCAGCTCCCATTGGCTCGTTCCCATTGGCTGCCCTCACCCCGAGCACAATCTCTCAGCTCTTTTTTCCACACTGGGCTGCTGGCCTCGAGCCACCCAGGAAAGTGTCTCCTGTCCAGAGCCTGCCTCTGGCACCCCGAAACCCTGCCCCATATCACCACCCAAACCCTCTGTACCCTCCTCTACTCCAGGTCGCAACTCCCTTCCAGCCTCTTCACGCCCTCCTACATTCCTCCTCCAGGCCAGAATCCTCTCCTGCACTTAGACCTTCTCCTGGACCCTGCACTCCAGGTCACAACCCCCTCCTCCACCCCAGCTCCCTCTCAGACACCACAACCTCTCCTTCACTTCAGTCCCCTACCCAGAGCTCCCTTCTCCACCCAGCCTCCATCCCAGACCTCAGCCCCTTCAGACAAATGCAGCTCTTGTCCACTTGAGTGCCCTCCCATCAAAAATTATGGCCCATCCCTGCTTTTTTAAACCAGTTAAGTCAATGGAGCTAAACTGATTTACACCAGCTGAGTGTTTGGCCGTAATTGTTTAATGTGCTTGGCAATGCCATGACCTAAACATTTGTAAAGTTTTTCAATTATCTATGGCAAGATTCAACCTCACAAGTTCAAGGAGCAGCAGTTTGCCCCTCCTCATGCTAACAAGGACTGCTGTTTTCATACTTCACCATTGTTAGAAGCTAGATGGTGGTTCTGCCACTCTCCTCTCTCAGGTTTGGAGGGGACAGGAAATACAGTATAGTTTCTCTTAGGGTTTCCATAGGAGCCTAGCCTGCGGATGGTACAAATGCATCGTACATCTGTCCCCTCGCTGTTTTGGCTGCTGTGGTCAGTGACACCTATCCGTGGCTAAGAAGAGGGTCTGTATACTTGCATTATTTCACCCCAAGAACTTTCAGCCACCACAACCCCCCGGCTAGATTTCACCTAAGGAGTTGAGGGTGGGATTTCACCTAAAGAGTTCAGTGCCAAACTCCCATTGAAATTCAAGTTCCTTCAGGGTGGGATTTCACCTAAGGAGTTCAGCACCAAACTCCCATTGAAATTCAAGTTCCTTTCGATGCTTGTAAAAATCCAGCCCTTAAAATATTCTGTAAAGAATGCATCATCCCTCATTACAGTACTGTGTGGGACTGACTGATTTTTTTAGGGAGGCTCTAATCTAGGTCTGAAACACATTGGCTATTCCTTATTAGCTGTATGTAACTGAGTGCTTAAACAGTGTAGGTTTTTATTTCACAGATTGCAGTTTGAACAAATGTTGTAGGGCTTAGCTAATTGCTTGGATCTTTCCATGAAAAGCTTGTGTTGTGGCTCTCTAGGTTGTCTGGAAACACAAGAAAGGGCTCCTTTCGGTTATGTTTGTTGAGATAAACAAAAAATTATCTGGTTGTTGATTTGTTGGGTTCCAGAAGCTTTTAGATTTTTAAGTTTTGTTCTTAAAGATCATGGCAAGTTCTGGCTTGACAGCCATTGACTCTAACTTCAGATGAAATTATCTGGTTGTTGACTTGTTGGGTTCCAGAAGCTTTTAGATTTTTAAGTTTTGTTCTTAAAGATCATGGCAAGTTCTGGCTTGACAGCCATTGACTCTAACTTCAGATGTTGAGATGTTTTGAGAAGCAATCAGAGCAATCCATTAGCATTAGGGTCGCCATTTGCGCTTTCTGTCTTGGAAACAAATTGAGAAAATACTGGACATATTTAATTAGAAAATACCGGACATTTATAAGTTTTATTATTATCAAGAGTATCAGTACGTAGCTGCAAGAGCATGTCTACCAGCCAGGCAGTATGCAACTACGCAGTGGGGAGGGGGCGGGGCGTGGGGAGGAGGGAATCCCGGGGCCAGACTCACCTGTTCACTCCGCTGGGACCGTGCGCAGGATGGGCAGCGCCCCGGGATCTGTGTGCGCCTG